ACCACAAGATAAACTTGTGACTGGCACATTTTACGCAGTTTACTTGCACTCTGTTGCACACATTGGTGGGTCGTGTTTTTGAACTAGACCACCTTAGCTTGAACAAAACCGTTCTCGTTCACATTCAAATCAAAGACAGCCTTCAAAGATTGATTGTAGCGCGAACCAATAGCGTTCGACTGCGGGCAGTGGAAGGAATATTTGATTGGTTGGAACTACTGAACGAATACGCCCTCTTTGCTGGCTTTCTAAACGTGTTCGTGATTCGTGAATGAACTAAATGAATACGTTCGTGGAGATTTGCTGCTAGTTAACAAAGGGAATGGAAAATTACATGATGTTAAAAAATCTTTCTGGAGTTTCTTAGTAGATTTGAAGACACTCTACTCACTTGTTTTACTCGACGACTTGGAGAGTGATTATAGTTGTCTCATTGAACGAATCTTTCGAAAGATTCGAGTCACTGGGATGATTTAAACCCCCCACCTTTAGCACATAAGCATTTTACTTTCAACATACTTTAAATTATACTTTCAAACTAATATATTTGAATACATAGTGATGTACCAAAATAACATAGACTATGAAACGTAAATTTGGAAATGAGCAAAAAACATTTAACAATGATGAAAAGATGTATAGATCAGACAGGCTCTACCGCAGAGGATCTGTTTATTTGTCAAAGGAATCATGATATATGACAGATGGTGCATTCATCATGCTCATAGGAATAGCTTGAGTAAACACATACAGGCCATACAAATCAATATCTCAATGCATCCATCTAAAAACAAACAAGTGATATTAAAATGTCTCAGAGCCTTTTTACTGATAAAGATGGTCTGATATCCATTTTTATTTTTTTTAATATTACAAATAATTTGGTATTTTAGAGCTGGAGCAGCTGTCTTAAGTGGCCTATCATAACCGGAATTATACAAGTTGTGAAAAAGAATTACTTTTTTTATGTGCAGTTGCTAAAAGAAAACAAACATGTTTGATCTGAGAAAATTCTCTTTAACATACAGCAAAGTTTGCAACTGAAGCGTGCTCCGATTAGGCCTTCAGACACAAGTAAATTAATAAACAATGAAAAATAATTAAGGTTTAATAATACTGTTAAAGGGTTTGCTATTAACAGCAAATGTTGATACTTCATAACTGCATACACCTCGTTCAAAATGTAATGACTTTGTTGGTATAGCTGCTTCAAAAGTAGAAAATCACTCAAATGTTTAGTTTTCCACAAGCAAATCAGCACACACACCCGCACACACTACTAAAAATAATTTTAAAAATGGGATAGAAACGGGTCACAAAAAAATAGAACAAGACAGAACATTTGCCATGTCTACTGTGAATAAAGCAGTCTTTGCCATGGAAACAGTCATACAGCATCACAGACTGTACAAAGTGTGAAAACGAACGAATCACTAAATCATTTAGCGTAACTAAATATTTCTACTTGGAGCCTGGTTTTTAAATATCAGGCTCAGAAGTGACCCTGTTAACCGCAGTGCTCAACACATGCATTCATATCTGTGTATTGTGTTTTAACATACAAATACATTTGTTTGTTTTTTTTTTTGTTTTTTTTTTCACTACTGCATATCCTTCAGTGTGATGTTAAAGTGTTATGTGTCTGCTTGCAGACGAGCAGAAGTATAAATCAGCCGTTTCTGTGCGGGAATAGATTCACAGGTCCTGTTCATGCATCTGCTGTTGCATTTTCTGAAGCATCTCCTGCATCCTCCGCAACTGTAAGGGACAATATTAGGCAGATTCAGCATTTGCAAATGTCTCAAAAATACTATTTTCCTGACTAGTTTTGTGCTCAGGGCCACATTTACAAAGTTAAAGGGATAGTTCACCCAAAAATGACAATTCTGCCATCATTTACTCACCCTCAAGTTGATCCAAACCTGTATGAGTTTCTTTCTTCTGTTGAACACAAAAGAAGATATTTTGAAGAATGTTGGCAATTAAACAGTTGATGGACCCCATTGACTTCCATAGTAGGAAAAAAATCAATGGAAGTCAATGGGGTCCATCAACTGTCTGGTTACCAACATTCTTTAAAATATTTTCTTTTGTGTTCAACAGAAGAAAGAAACTCACACAGGTTTGGAACCACTTGACGGTGATCAAATTATGACAACATTTTCATTTTTGGGTGAACTATCCCTTTAAGAAATAAAATAGCTAGATTAAGCAGGACTGCTGACCTCTTCATCCTTCATCTTTATCAGCTTTTCTGTCTCTACGTCAGGGGTGGACAGTGGTAGTATCGGGATGGGACTTTCCACACGATTATCCTGGGTCAGTTTGCTGGTGAAAACCAAACATTTCATAAGTGAACTCAATGGCTGTATTTTTTCCTATTATGTTTAGTAAGATATTTGGAAAAACCATTGTGACTTACCTTGTCATTTGCTGTATGCACTGCGCCCTGTAGTTTTCATAGTGCACGTCACACGTGATGTCTTTCAGGTCGTGCATGTGTGAGCGAATCAACATGGTCCTCAACTTGACGAAATCACAATGGGACTGATTGTCCACTGTGATGAAAAAGAGTTGGAGGGGGTTGAAATTTATCTAGTTGGTTAATTATATAAATTTTAAGTCTTACTTTCGCTGTATGTACAGAGTTTGTCTTGTGCAAAATGTAGATATTCAAGCACAGATTTGTACTGACCTTCCACAATGCCCCATGGGTAAAGTCTCCCTCTCACCCGCTGACCTTTGACCTCCACTATTGTGTTGCTTCCAATCACGGCAAATGGAGTGCTCTCCTAAAAGCACAAAACATAGAGATTTATATTTCTTGCTTCTAAGCTGTAATGCTTTTAGGCCTGGTTTCACAGACAGGGCTTAGATTAAGCCAGGATTAAGCCTTTTTTAGGACATTTAAATGGCTTTTATAAATGTGCCTTAGAAAAAAACATTATTGGTGTGAATCTTGAGACAAAACTATGTCACTGACATATTTTAAGATATATCAGTGCAAATTGTTTTCAGTTAAAACAGCTCAAACATGCATTTTAGTCTGAGACTAGCTTAAGCCTTGTTTTTGAGTTTACATTAGTTTGTTAGTTAGTTGGTCAGGTTCTCCAGTAAGAGTTGAGTTTATAGCAATTCTTTTGAAGATTGTGACAGGGTTTAAACTAAATCTTTTTAAAAAAACATACGTTACTTGAAATAAATTAAAGGTTAAATGTAATGAAATAAAATATATATATATATTTTTAAATTATGGTTATTTTATTTCAGCTAGTTGCATTTAGTTAAATTTAGTTTAGTTCTTTTAGTTTAACTTGATGTACTACGATAACTAAAACTGAAAAATAAAAATTACTAAAAATATTTTTTATTAAAAAATAGTTAATGAAAATTGCAAAAACACAAATTAAAATAAAACAAAAAATAATTCAAAATATTGATCAAAACTATAATAGTATCAAAGTGACAGTAATATAACTCTGGATTGTGTCCCTTGTTCAAACAAATATTTATTTAAATTTTATTTGTTATTTTATCTTATTTTATTTATTATTTTATTTAAGTTCACTTGGTTTCACTAATTATTACAATTTATAACAACTGTTTTCTTTTTGAATAGATTTTAAAATATAATTTATTCCTTTGATCAAAGCTGAATTTTCAGCATCATTACTCCAGTCTTCAGAGTCACATGATCCTTCAGAAATCACTCTAATATGCTGATTTGCTGCTCAAGAAACATTTCTTATTATTTTCAATGTTGCTTAATATTTTTGTGGAAACCGTGATACATTTTTGAACCCCTTGACGGAGGCAGCTCACTTGGTTTCGTAGTAAAATACTTTCACTCATACTGTTTTTTTTTCTGACATGGACCTTATGAACCAGACATCAGCCTTGGATGGAACAGAAAACATAATTTTTCATGTCTCGAGTCATTACGTACTCAAGCATCCATTTATAAGTCATAAAACGGACCTTAAGCTCTCGGTCCTGTTGCTTGAGCTCCTCGTCCTCATCGGAATCACAGTCTGGGAACTGGTATACTTTGATACCGAACTTCTCAATCTCCTCTCTCACCTTGAATAGAAGGATCAAAAACATGTGTTACGTCAGAAGCCCTGACACTATCGAGCAAGGACACGCTGTGTGTATGAATGTGAACTGAGTGTGTGCATGTACAGTATAAACAGGCTGAGGTGGAGGTGGATCCGCTTTACCCTGTCCTTCATCTTCCTCATCTCCGCTGGCGTCAGACAGTCAGCCTTGGAAATGAGTGGAACCACGTTCACCTTGTCCTGCAGAGCCTTCATAAACTCCACGTCCACGGGCCGCAGCCTGGGAGGAGAGCAGAGAGAGTGAGTGAGCTTATCCGGTCTGAGATACTTTATTTACTTTGCTGTCAAAATATACATGCATATATATATATATATATATATATATACATATAGGGCCCTATCATACACCGGACGCAATTTGGCGCGACGCAAGTGTTTTTTGCTAGTTTCAGCCTGACATAGTTATCATTTTCACGTCCACAAGGCACACACACAGGCACGCGCAGCAGCACACAAACGTTTTTAAATGTGAAAAATTAAAGGATTACAATGTAAAGGATATTGTGTACATAAAGATATGGTGGAATCCGGCTCGTCCCGTAGATGGTCTGCTTGCTCGCTTTAACCTCGTGGACGAGAAGATCCGTTTGCGCTCTGGAGAAGCGTTCAGTCTTTCCGCTTGCAAATCCCGCCATGTAAATAGCGAATCCGCCATGGTGCGAGCGCAACTGGCTTTTAAAGGGAATGGGAGATGAGACTCTGATCGGTTTATTACGCCCAAAACACACCCATTACTCATTAAGAGAATAGGGACAACCCTTTTAGACCATGCGCTGGGTGCGCCGACCATTTTCCCGTCGTTAAACTAGCAAAAGTGGATTCGGACACACGCCCTAAGTGCACTTGCGCCGTGCGCTTTAGACCATGCGCTTAGATCGTTAAAATAGGGCCCATAGAGTCAGGCGTATATTACCCATGGCCAAATGGAGGGATGAAGTACAAGCAGCAGTGAACTCGATTATCCTGGATGTTCTTCCTGTTTAAGCCACTTTCATCCCGAAAATACTGTTCAAACTGCTGGTCAATATAGTCAGTATTGGCCTTCCAGCTGCAGGATTGAGAGGAAATTGTCAGATTACCAATAATTGAATGAACAAATCTGTGGTAAACTCTGAGTACGTACGTACCTCTCCGTATTATTGACAGCGTCTCCAAAACCTGGTGTGTCTACAATGGTCAGTTTCAGCTTAACGCCCTTCTCCTCAATGTCAACGGTGTGTTTGATGATCTCCACAGTCTGATTAATACGCTCTAATCAACAGAATACCTATTTGGTGACTTTATTTAATATTTAAATTGCAGTAAAATCTGCGAGCATGGGAGTAGAAATATACCTTCAGCATTCAGGAGTTTCCTGTCCTTGTACAGATCTGTGAGGAACAAGCTGTTGATGAGGGTGGACTTTCCAAGACCAGACTCCCCTGGAAAACATGGAGTTTAAACATTCAGAAATGCACTTATGGCCCAGATACATTGAGATGTCACACTCATGTGGTCGAGGCACGATTGAATTCTGTCGTCTCTCCATAATCTCCACATAGTGAAAAAAACTAGACTAAAATGTATTTAAAATATATTTATTTCATACCAAGTATAGTACAAATCTATTAACATATTTATTGACATATCACTTAAGACTTACTGATATATTATAATTTAACTTTATTGCACAATGCACATTTCTTAATATTAAGCCTAAAATGTGTTTTAATATCACTATTAGTAAGGATATTATGATCACTGTATAATATCAGTCGTTAAATGTAAGATATTTAAAGCGTACCTAAAGTATACTTGCAATAGTTCCATTTTAGCAGCATCAAATATACTTATGTATATCTTTAGTTGGACCTCAGCACTATTTCTGGATAACTAAAGTGCATTAAGTACAAAATTAGTTCTTCCAATTTAGCAAGCTTTATCCAGATCCACCAAAGGAGGGAGAGCATTTTCACATTTAGCTCCGAAGCTCTGGAATAGCCTTCCTGATATTGTTCGTTGCTCAGACTCGTTCTCCCAGTTTAAAACTAGACTAAAGACGCATCTATTTAGCCAGGCATTCATATAAATTTTATCTTACAGTTACTGTAAATTCGGCCTCTACTTCATAAACGCCAGAGGAGAACTGGCCCCCACTGAGCCTGGGTTCTCCCAAGGTTTTTTTTTTTCTCCATTGGGTCATCTGATGGAGTTTTTCGGTTTCTTGCCACTGTTGCCTTTGGCTTGCTCAGTTGGGAATATTCAAATTAAATGACCCATCATACCACTGATCAGCTCTACCAAACTTGGATGTCTTTTTCCAGTAATAAACAAACACTGTTAAGTTGTTTTGATTGATACTGTGAAGCAGCTTTGATACAATCTGTATTGTGAAAAGCGCTATATAAATATATTTGACTTGACTTGACTTTAAGTATATCAATTTAGTATACCAACAACAGTACAATTGCAGGCTATTTATATTAACTACATAAATATGTAAATGTATTTCTAGCATACTTTGCATAACATTTTCAAATACATTTTGGTATATTTATTTTTCACTAGGGCTGAATCATCAAAAGTGGCAAAAATACTTTTTAATTCCTGTTTTGGTGATAAGCAGTGTTGTTTAAGTATTATTTATATATTATCATAGTATTCAGTAATATTTTAAGTATTATTTTTATATTTTCAGCTTTCATTTAAGTAATTTTGTGACTTTTTTATATTTCTATTTAGCTTTATTTTATATTTATTTCAGTTTTAGTCATTTTAGTAATTGAACTTATTTTATTTCAAGGGAACATTTTTTTTAAGTCGGCATGAAACGGAAGTTGCAATAATCTTTTCTTCTTCATTGTGGCATATATCCGAGTGAAACAGCTTCTGGAATAAGGAAAAAATGTAGGGCGGGACTTGATTTTGTCTATCAGGATTTGATTGGATCGTTGGATCGTTGGGGTTTGATATCGGACGATCTCATGTGAGTGACAGTTTGCCCCGCCCTCACACCAGTCACTGCAAGAAGCATGTAATATAAGTCTCAGTTTTTCCCAGAATGTGTCTGTGAAGATTCAGTTTAAAATACTCAACAGATAATTTATTATACCTTGTTGTTAATGCCCGTTTAAGGAGTGGAAGAAAGCAACATGCTGTTTTCTACATATATCTTTAAATGCAAATTAGCTGCTGCTCCCCGCCCCGCTTTCCAGAAGAGGGCGGAGCCTTTACAGCTCATGCTTCGGATACTCTGACAACAACAAAAATGAAGAATGTCACATACCCAAAATGTCAGAAAGTTTCAGTAGTGGTGTTCCTTACGTTCGAACCAGAGTCGGACACTGATGGACTCAGTTACAACTTTTAGAAATGCAACTGGACGATTCTGAGTGGTTAGAGAATACATTTATGTAGCCTAGCTGTTGTGGCGTTAAATGGATTCAACTCATCGACTAGCATGTTTTTCAGAAACAACTTTTGTTCAAATCCAGCATTGAACTGACCCTTGTTTGTAAAGCAGTCCAGCGTAAAATGATTTGTGCAAATTTAAAACACTTTAACGGCTTTCTTTGCCACGTTTCCTTTATAAATTAAATTCAACTACGGTGTCCTCAGTGGCTCAGATGTCGGGAGTCTTTGGAGACTCTTATGTTCATTGGTACATCCAATAACAGAACATTTGTAATGTTTTTTTTGGTGCAGACATTGTATATCTCCAGCTGCTACAGCGAGGAAACAGAAATGGCGGACCACTGCAGCTCACTCAGGGCGGGATCTATGTTAATAGGGCACATCATCACCAGTCGTGGGCGGGGCTTCTGGAACCACTCTTTGGAGAGACTATTTATGATTCATGGGGATTATTAAAAAGGAGTGGGTGGATTTGTACCATTATAAGCTGGTTGTTTATACACACTGTGGACACACATCTGTGTTCTAACACCTTATAAAAGTGAATTTTGCATAATAGGTCCCCTTTAAGTCTTTCATCCAATATTTATGTTTCAGCTTTATTTCAATGAAGGGAAACCATATTTAATAGTTCTAATTTTAGCTTTAGTTAACAATAACAACATTGGTGATAAGGAAACTCACCTGCCACCATGAGTGTAAAATCAAAGCCTTTTTTGACCGACTTCCTGTGAACCTGGTTTGGGAGGGTGGCGAAGCCGACATACTCTTTTTCCTGAAAAATTGGATTATAATGGGATAATATAAAGGGATAGTTCCCCCAAAACTGAAAATTCTGTCATTAATCACTCACCCTCATGTCCTTCCAAACCCGTAAGACCTTCGTTCAACTTCGGAACACAAATGAAGATATTTTTGATAAAATCTGAAAGCTTTCTGTCCCTCTATTGACAGTAACGTCATTGCAACTTTCAAGACCCAGAAAGGTAGTAAAGACATTGTTAAATTAGTCCATGCGACTACAGTGGTTCAAACTTAAGGTTATGAAGCGATGAGAATACTTTTGTGTGCAAAAAAAACGTCTCGGGTTATGACTATAACCCTTGTTCCCTGAGAAGGGAACGAGACACTGCGTCGTTGAAAACGACTCTTTGGGGACGCTCCCTAAGCGTGCGCCTCTGAAGTATGAATGAAACTAATCCAATCCTGATTGGTGTTGCGTCGTGACGTAACATGTGACGGCATAACCGGATGTATAAAAACGGCGCTGATGCAAACACATACCAGCCTCGCGATGAAGCAAGACGCTCTAAGGCCTCTAGGGGCGTGGCAGGACGACGCAGTGTCTCGTTCCCTTCTCAGGGAACAAGGGTTATAGTCATAACCCGAGACGTTCCCTTTCGAGGGAACTCGCACTGCGTCGTTGAAAACGACTCTTTGGGGAACGAATGCCCACTATGCCACGCACCGGAACAAGGCCCGCCCTAAAGTGAAACTGAAACAGGCACAAAACTAGGACGAGAGCACTCGCGCACCAGGCGTACTAGGGAGGTGCAGACCATAAAACCTGATAAAGGTGTGCGGGGTAGCCCAACCGGCTGCCTCACAGATCTCCTGAAGAGGCACGCCCAGTTGGAGAGCCCTAGAGGAAGCCATGCCTCTAGTCGAGTGAGCCCTAACGGCCAAAGGTGAAGGCATATTGCGCACCTTGTAGGCCTCGGTAATAGCCTGAACAATCCAATTACTAATAGTTTGTTTGGACGCAGGGAGCCCCTTTTTAGGTGACCCAAAACACACCAACAGTTGGTCCGACCTCCTCCAGGAAGAGGACCTCTCAAGGTAAATGCTCAACGCTCTGACAGGACAGAGCAAATGGAGCCTCTCTTCCTCTGCCGACACATGAGGTGGAGGATGAAAAGCCTGAAGGACTGTAGACCGTGCCGCATTAGAAGGCACCTTAGGCACATAGCCCGGTCTTGGGTTCAAAATGACCTTAACTCCGCCAGGTGCAAACTCCAAGCAAGCTGGCGTTACTGCCAGGGCTTGGAGATCTCCCACCCTCTTAAGGGAAGTAATGGCTAAGAGGAATGCCATCTTGAAAGTCAGATCCTTGGGTGACGCCGACTGAAGAGGTTCGAAGGGGGCAAGGGATAACCCCTCGAGAACCACTGCCAGGTCCCAGGAGGAAACCCTGGACCTGGTTGTCGGTCTCATCCTCCATGTACCACGGAGAAAACGTACAACCAGTTGGTGCCTCCCCAAAGGCCCATCGCCCAGTGGTGCATGGAAAGCCGCAATGGCAGCTACGTACACTTTAAGCGTGGATGGGGAGAGACCCGCAGAGAAGCGATTTTGAAGAAACTCCAGAACTGAAGCCACCGGGCAGTTAACTGGATCTAGCTCATGTTCTCTACACCAAGTGGCAAAAACATTCCACTTGAGGCCATACAATCTCCTAGTAGACGGAGCCCTAGAGTTAAGTATGGTATCAACCACCCCGTCCGATAACCCAGCATTTAAGTACTGGACCCCCTCAGGGGCCAGACCCACAGCTTCCACAACTCTGGGCGAGGGTGGAAAACTGTGCCCTCCGCCTGAGACAACAGATCCCTCCTCAGAGGAATCTGCCACGGCGAGTCTATCAGGAGTGATACGATGTCTGAAAACCATACTCGGGCCGGCCACAACGGGGCTACCAGAAGAAGACTGATGCCCTCCTGACGGACCCTCTCTAGGACTCCCGGAAGCAGAGCAACGGGGGGAAAAGCATACAGGCGAAGCCTCGGCCAAGCCTGTACCATGGCATCCAACCCCAGCGGGGCTGAATGGGTGAGGGAAAATCAAAGGGGACAGTGGGACGTCTCTTGAGACGCGAATAAATCCACTTCCATAGGTCCGAACCTCTGCCATATTAGCTTCACCACGTCTGGGTGAAGTCTCCACTCCCCGGGCCTCAGCCCCTGCCTCGATAGGATGTCTGCTCCCCGATTCTGAACCCCCGGGACATATATTGCTCTGATAGACAATATTTTCCCCTGGGACCAAAGAATAATCTGATGCGCCAATCTGGATAGAGGGCGCGATCTGAGTCCCCCTTGTCGGTTCAGATAAGCTACCACTGATGTATTGTCCGATCGTACTAGGACATGGTAACCCTTGATGTCTGGAAGGAAGCTCCTCAGAGCCCTGAACACAGCCAACATCTCCAGGCAATTTATATGCCAAGAATGATGATGGTCCTGCCACAGACCCCTGGCAAAGCGGCCGTCCATGACCGCGCCCCAGCCAGTGAGGGAGGCGTCTGTCGAAACGGTTTTCCGGCGACACGACGCTCCTAACACTGGCCCTTGGGACAGGAACCAAGGTTTCTTCCATATTAATAGAGAACGAAGGCATCTGCGCGTTACTCTGATTATACGAAATGGATTCCCCTTGGGGGAAAACCCCTTGGCTTTCAGCCACCACTGGAGGGGCCTCATATGTAGAAGGCCCAAAGGTATAATGTTGGATGCCGCTGCCATGAGGCCCAGCATCCTTTGAAACCTCTTCACAGTGATGGGCTGGCCTAGCTTTATCCCAGAAACCATTGTCAGGATGGACTCGATTCGTGCGGGAGACATGTGTGCCCGCATCGTAACCGAATTCCATACCACGCCCAAAAACGTTGTTTTCTGAGCTGGTTCCAACACGCTTTTTTTCGTGTTGAGTCTCAACCCCAATTCCTGAATGTGGCCAAGGACGACATCTCGATGCCGAACCGCCATTTCCCGAGACTGGGCCAATATGAGCCAGTCGTCGATATAATTCAGTATACGGATGCCCTGAAGTCTTAATGGAGCCAGAGCTGCATCCATACACTTCGTGAACGTGCGGGGAGAGAGTGCTAGGCCGAACGGAAGAACCCGATACTGATATGCTTCGCCCCCGAAAGCAAACCTTAGGAACCTCCTGTGACACGGAAGGATGGAGACATGAAAATAGGCGTCTTTTAGGTCTATCGTGACAAACCAGTCCTCGGACCTGATTTGATTCACAATGATGGGAATCGTAAGCATTTTGAACCTGAATCTCCTCAGAGACCGATTCAACTGCCTTAGATCCAAAATCGGCCTTAGCCCGCCATCCTTCTTTGGAACTATAAAGTATCGGCTGTAAAATCCGGACTCTCTGTCTGGTGGGGGAACAATTTCTATAGCCCCTTTGACCAGGAGAGCCTGTACTTCTTGTTCCATAACCCGAGCCTGTTCTGGAACCACTGTAGTCGGCACCACCCCTGCAAACCTGGGAGGTCGGTGACCAAACTGCAGTCTGTATCCTTTTTCTATTATATTCAGGACCCATAGAGAAATATTTGGAAGAAGGCGCCACCCCTCTACAAAATTTACTAAGGGAACCAGCCTCTCGAGACTGGCCTCGGGTGTTTCTCGAGCACTGTTCTCGACCCCTTGACACAGCGAACTGGCAGGAAGCGGACGAGAACGATTTTGTGACCATAGTCGGTGCTCTCTTGCAAGCTCTTGGGGCGAACGCCACGGTGTGCGTTCGCTGGAAATCGATGCGACCCGAAGCGTCCAAGACGGCGGGACAACATCTCTTTCCAGAGGGCTCCGTTGTGAAAACAACCTCGGTTGTTCCCTCACGGGGGGGACAGCCCTCAGAGGTCCTACCAGATTGGCTAGGACCTCTTTCCTGAAGCCCTCTTTGCCTGAATGACGGCCCTCAAGTCGCCCTTCTGGCCAGAGGATTTAGAGTGAGAACGTTTCCTCTGTTGCCAAGCTCCCGAGGGAGGGGCTCGAGAGGAAACGCTCTCCTTTTGCTCCAGGCGATGGGAGGAGCTGGCTGACGGCTGAGGCTGGCCACTTGGACCAGCCCTCCTAGACCCAGATCTAGATCGGCGAGGGAGATACTGCTGAAAAGCTGCTGACTGTTTTTTCGCCTCCTGAAACCTGTCGACAACGGTGTTTACTGCGTCGCCGAACAGGCCAGAAGGCGATAACGGGGCATCCAACAAAAATGATCTGTCCTTATCCTTAATACCGGACAGATTAAGCCATAGATGCCTCTCTGTGGCCACCAAAGCTGCCATGGAGCGGCCAATAGCACGGGCCGTCTCCCTAGTGGCTCGGAGAGATAAATCAGTTGCTCTTCTAAGTTCCGCAATATCTTCGGGTGTTGGGCCCTCACCCTCATCTAGGTCTTTTAGGATATCGGCCTGGTACGCCTGCAAGATTGCCATAGAGTGCAGGGACGCACCAGCCCGACCAGCCGCCATATAAGCCCTGCCCACCATCGCAGAAGTGTCCCTGCATGGTTTGCTGGGCAGCGCCGGGGCTTTAAGCGAAGATGTCGCTTCGGGAGAAAGATAGCTCGCTAAAGCTTCCTCCACCCGCGGCATCTTGCCATACCCCGACTCTCTCGCACCCACCACATTACTATAATCACATAACGTAGGTGATGAAATACGAGATGAGTGGGGCTTCTCCCAGGATCTCGAAATCTCTTTATGAAGATCCGGGAAAAAAGGCAAGCCCCGGCGCTGAGGCTGTGAGCGATGCTGCAGGAATCTCTCGTCTAACTTGCTCTGACGAGAATCATCCTGCTTATCTTGTGGCCAACTAATATTGAGTTTGGCCACAGCACGCGTCACAACCTCCACTAACTCCTCATACGCGGGAACATGAGTCGGCGAGTGTGACTCATGTTCCCCGCTCCCGATGCTGATCACATCCACTTCCTCGGAAGCGGATAGTTCAAGCACCGGGCACTCGTCATGGGCAGAAGAAGCCGCAGCGCGGGCTTCTGCATCATGAGCGAGTGTTATAGAATCCACAGATGATGAACGAGAAAGTGCCTCAGCAGTCTCGTTCTCATCTGCGAGATCCTTTTGCGATCCCCACGATCTAAGCCTCCGCGCCGCCTCAACGGACGCGGGACCTGAACCGCAAGGATCGCGAGCTTGGCCATCTTTATCAAAAACAGCCAAGCTGGAGCGCAGCACTCTCAATGGAAGTGCTTCACAATGTGTACAGGGATCACAGGCAGCTCCCTCGAGAGCTGCCTGTGCGTGCTGCACTCCCAAACAATTCACACATAATGGATGCGTGTCCCCACCCGTGATAAATCTAGGACAGGGGTGCACACATCTAGTGAATTGCTCACTCGCCATACTCTCACTTTCAAACAGACAATACAACACCAAATAAGACAGACAGTTTTCAACAGATAGCGCTTGCTGAAGAGCGAAAGCTGGTATGTGTTTGCATCAGCGCCGTTTTTATACATCCGGTTATGCCGTCACATGTTACGTCACGACGTAACACCAATCAGGATTGGATTAGTTTCATTCATACTTCAGAGGCGCACGCTTAGGGAGCGTCCCCAAAGAGTCGTTTTCAACGACGCAGTGCGAGTTCCCTCGAAAGGGAACTAAAATAACGACTTTATTCAACGATCCCTTCTCTTCCATGTCATTCTCCTACGCTGTTGACGTAGTGTAAAGAGTGCAGTGCTTCTGGGTTCTACGTCAGAACGTCGGCTCACTATTGGCTAGCTCCTGCGTCAGCTTCACACGCATGTGTCGTGGTGCTCACATGACCAGCATCGGCCAATAGTGAGCCTACGTTCTGACGTAGAATTAGGAAGCGCTGTTCTCTTTACACTACGTCAACAGCGTAGGAGAATGACATGGAAAAGAAGAGATTGTTGAATAATGTCGTTATTTTGGGGGGATTTTGCACACAAAAAAGTATTCTAGTCGCTTCATAACATTAAGGTTGAATCACTGTAGTCACATGGATTATTTTAGCGATGTTTTTACTACCTTTCAGGGCCTTCAAAGTTGCAATGACGTTGCTGCCTATGGCTGGTTCAGAAACCTCTCAGATTTCATCAAAAATATCTTAATTTGTGTTCCGAAGATAAACGAAGGTCTTACAGGTTTGGAACGACATGAGGGTGAGTCATTAATGACAGAATTTTCATTTTTGGGTGAACTATCCCATTAATAATACAATGCTAATACTACCACATTCATTTCCATATCTAAACAACTGTACAGTATGCAAAAAACGGACATAGGCAAGCCAAATCATGTGATAGCTGAAGGGATAAAAATGAATCCAAGCGCCCCACCCCCAACCTTCACAGCCAGCCTGATGTATGCCACACGTGCTACATTACTAGGGCAATCCCACAATTCCTGCCATGTTTCATTGTGCTTAGTGAGTCTGTGCGGGAGCGCTCATGCCTGAAGGCCTCACGGTCCATATTTCAAATATTACATCATTTATCCTATTATATAAAACCTCTCTGCTGTCATATATAATCATTATGCTTGGTTTGAATCACAAATATGCAAATTTGGCCCTGTTTATTGGTCCAATTCATATTAGAGAACAGCAGAGTATAATCTCTAGGAAAGGAATGGCTGTGCATGACTGAATGGCCCAGTTTGAATCTGTGTTTGGATTAAAACACTAACACAATAAGACTAATTAGTAGAGTTTGCTTTTGAGATAGCATTACATAAAATGGCAATTTTGGGTCAGAAAGTGGAGGTCAACTACTTAAAATCTGTCGTTGTACAATAGACTCTCCTGCTTGGCTTCATCTCCAGGATTGTTTGGCCTGTCTGGAGAGAGGTTTATCCTCACCTAGGGCCATGGATATTGGATTTGGCTTTCAAGCACACTTGGCAACAGTCTCAGCCATGGGAAAGCGTGTTTGCATGCATTCATGGGCGTTCACAGAGAAATAACGCAAGAAATGAATTGGATGTTTCCTAGCAGAAAGAGGCATTAGCGTTACTTTCATCAGTCGTCCAGAATGACTGACAGTTCGCCCTCGGGTGGACATACGGAGAGCCAAGTTTTCACATTTTCTAAGCCAGTGCACAGCAGACCACATGAACATCAGCTTAACTCACACTTACCATGTTTTCTTAAGAGAATGTGAAATCAGAAAAATACCACAAAACATTGCAACACCTCAGTACAAAAAATAAACAAAATCATATAATAAATTAACAAGGATATTTATAATTAATAGCACTACATGGGTAAATGTCACCCCAGTAATTTAAAAGAAAAGACTATTATTTTATTATGCATTATTTTGCATTGTGACTTTATTTCTCTAATATTTAAACACATTTCTCCTTTAATTCTCATTATAGTAATGTGTATTAGTGTCACAATGCAAATAATCTAATTTGCGATCAAACATGATTCATTTTCTTTTCAGCAAAATGCAATGTTTTACTTTTCTATGGTGTTTGAGGTGGAATATGGCCTTTCTTTGAGATTCATGACGCATATCATTTAAAATAGTTATGTAATTAGATTCAGTGACATTTAATGAAAACTTTAAGACAGTGGCTAATGATGATGGTATCAGCATCGTTCTCATTGTTCTCAAATGATGCAATGGATGCAATTCTCCTGCTGCTTTACAGTGAGGTTAAACAGAGACATGTGAAATGTGGGACACTGAAAGCAGGCGGTGAGGATTAGTTTCATGCATCTCTGAAAATGGACAGCATCCATGTATTTGATAGAACAGATATTTGCAATCCTTAAATGCCTGATCAAATATACAGAAAATGATATTTTCGTGTTCATTGTTACTCTCTGACCAAACAGCTGTAGACAGAAGCTGTGAGTGATGATGCAGGACCGCTATTCATAGCAGTGTCCCAGAAATATATGCATGTTCACAGATGTGGATTAACCTATGTTAAACTCATAGAAATAATGATTACAGACAATAAAGCATGCTTACCTCTCCATCCTCTGCTGTGTGATGTGAGATGCCCGCAGCAGGTGAAGGATGCAGACGCCCATTCAAGCGTTGAGAAATCCACAACGATTGATGCAAACAGACATTACATTTCCTTTATTAAATCCCGCTGCTATTTCAGTCACACACCGTTAATACTTCACACATCTTACCTGATTTCACCGCTCGGCTCTTGTACCTGGCGCTGCTCGTCATCCCGACCGCTTTCGGAACGCGAAATCCCAAACCGTACTATGGAGAAGGCTTGCTCATTAATATTCATTTATCCAGCCTTCTCATTGGACGCTCTATTTAAAGACTACTGCTATTGGATGGCAACCGCACAACGGCATTATTACGTAATTAATATTCATTAGAAGAGGTTTAACCATAGTAGGTTTCATATTTTGGCTTTCAGAACAGCTGGAATAATTATGATGCTGCCGAATGCGGAGGGGAACGCTCTAACAGTAGCCACATCTGATCATATAGGGCCAACCATTTGCGAATTTATTTCATTGATCACATAAAACTAATAATAAATCGATATTTAGCCTACATAAAATAAAGACCATATGATTTAGAAATACTGTAAGGATTTATTAATAAATAAACGGACACTTTTAAACTGACCAATAATTCGACGTACCTAAAGTGTTTCTTTAATTATTTAGTTCAATTTAAAATAATAATAATAATAATTGATAAAAAAAAAACAAAAAAAATTCAAATGAGACCGTTCTGATGTTGTTTCAACACAGAGTCGCGTGGTGGCAGTATAACGTCATATCCAGACTCGTAGGTAGTTCTCCATAATGGTTTGAATGAATGGATGTATGTGAGACAGCCTTTGAGTGCTCAGATTATCCAGGTCATGTATGTATTCTCATGCATTGTGATTTTCCTCACAGAGGACAAAGTGGAAAGGAAGATGTCTGGTGCGGAACACAATGAGACCCTGCTCTGTAAATACTGCCCAGGAAACATTGTGACAGGTTACCAGGCCCGACTAGGGAATTGTTCCTCTCTGTGTCAGAAACGGATCGGTTTGTTTATTCTAAAAACACAGCAAAGGCCGCTTAAATTAGGAACATGCTGACATTGTAACTTTGTTGGGGGGGAAACGAAGTAGGCCAGTGAATGAATGTGACCTGCAGTAATCCATACAATCAACAAAAAACAAACACAACAACAAACACACATCAGTATAAATGTTTTTTTTTTTAAATGGCTGGTTACCATTCACTTCTGCAGCGCGCTTTCAGAGTTTGTCTAAACCCTCCACCTTCCCCAGCTCCACCTGTATAGATCTGCTATGGGTAATTGATATATTTGTATGTTTTACACACTCACAGCAGTGTATCGGCGTATGTATTGGCAGTAGCAGCAGCTAGATCTATTCCGCCAAGACCAAATACATTAACATTGTCATATCCATTACCATTCTACAAATCTTCAGAGAGTTGTCATGATAAAAAAATTCTTTACTGTCCCTTTTGATCAACTTTATGCATCCTTGCTGAATAAAAGAATATACGGAATGAATTTGTTATAATACAAATAAGCATTGTGGATTTCATCTGTTGTTGCAATGAAAAAGTCTTATCAGACCAGACATTTGCATATAGCTTTATTTGACCTAAAGTTAAGAGTCAAACATGTTTATCTGGTATAACTTTCAATGGCACCAGAGTTAGTTCAATAAAGCATACTGAAGAATGTGAGGCACATCTAAATGACCTGTGGTTTGTAATCAGCTCTTCAGCCTCAGAGTTTCTTTTGTGTTATTGGTCTGAGAAAGCTGATAGTCATAAACAATGGTGCAACAAAACAAAAACACCATAAACAGAGAGGCAGCGCTGCTCACGATCACTCATGCGGCCACACTATAGCGCCGCAGGGGCAAACCGGAGGAAAACAATGATGGGAAAATCCAGTAGAAATAACCCAGCTGCTCACCACGGTCACCTTCCTGTGCTTCAGTGCTTACACAGCAGCCAAACAATTAATGCTGCAATTAACAGGCCTCTGTTCCACATCTGAACAATCCCAGCACGGCTATTTGGCAATCACACAAGCATTGTTGTTGCATTTTCATTCTTCAGTAGCCTCGCTAATTTACAATTAGTTTTTTTTAATTGAAATCATGGCTCTAATGTCATCATGCTTTCCCGCTATTTCATCCGAGTATTTACAAACAGTTTCTCTTGCCCTGGAACTAAGGCCAGTGTTGCCAAGCTTTGTTGCATTCATCAATCCATTTTTTTTTTATATATCTACATATATCTTTACATATAGCCTGCCTACACTACACATAGTGTATATCTTTAGATTTGTCTCGAGTCCCTCCTTCAGTCAGTGTAAAAGACCGTTCACACCAAGAACGTTAACTATAAAAAATAACTAGCGTCCACACTAACACACTATATTGTTATGTTTATTATAAGCTCGTGCTGCAGTTTATCGTCTGCCGCTTTAACCTGTTAAGCTTCAAGCCCACTTTTGAAAAATCCCCAGAAATGACATACCCAAACTGAAACAGATACAGTTCATGAACCCTTTGCACTAAAAGCACAAGTATGATCTCATTTGAAAGCTGACACCTGGTTGTTTATTGTAAATGTAGAATGAATTATTGTCATAATGAAAAAAACAATTTTAAATAGCTTCAAAGTTTTGTAAAGTTATTAGAAATGTATTTTTATGAAACATCTTCATGAAAATAAAATTGAAGTTGGCCCTGGAGCAATCTAGAAATGCACTGCAGCTAAAGCCACATGTCTGACCATTTTATATTTAAAATCTGAAAATGATAAGTATAAAGCTCTGTATTTAGTTAAATGTTTTTCAAGATCATGTCAAATTACTTTATTTTGATTAGACTCTATTAGCAAACTGATGTTTAGTCATCCTCTGAGTCATCTATTCAGTCTATTGTCTCTATTGTTTTGTGGTGCCCCATTCAGTGTCAGTCTCCCCTGTACACATTTACACCTCTCCAGACTGATTATGGATCTAAATATGCATTTCTTTTGTCTGTATTATAGCTACTAACGACTGGCTATTCACAGGCTATTCATAGGGTTTCAAACCCTAATTTCTTTTATCAAAATTCTCACTAAATATTTGAAACTGGTATCAAATGCACTGAAACATTTCAGTAAGCATTCCTATTTAGAAAAAAATCATAAAACAATGACTGCTCGTGGCAGGTGCGCCTGGGCTCGCTAGCATGTTAGCTTAGCACACCATCAATACACGACCATTTATGAGATTAAAATTATGTTTGTGCTCCAAACTTACTATATAACGCAAGTCTAGTGTTTTAAATAATCTTCTGTGATCTAACTTGGCTTCATATTAAAAAAAAATCCGGCAGAAAATGTATTATTTAGTGTTCTGAACGATGATGAAATCTATATCGATTAGCATTACATTATAAATATAATCTATTATTATGAAATACCTGGCATGGCTTGAAGAACACAGGTAACTCAAATATCATTGCAATCATGTTTATAGAGGGGTTTCACCAACGTCACGTTCTGGGCGGTAACCCGGATGCGCGGCCATTATGGAGGCACTCGGATGTAAACAACAGCATGGATTGCACTGTTCATGTACTAATGAACACATTATTACACTAATAAACCACGGAAAAAACACGTGGTAGGTGCGAAATCATATAGAGAAGGACTTGGGAAGCAGGAGAGAGCGCAACATTTTGACAAACTAAAGTTAATATGTTTTATGTGGTCACATTATGTGGCAGCTGCTAAAGATCCGAACGAGTTAGCTTCTCTAGCACGTAACACTACTGCAATTCTTCCATCTATTTATTATCCCGAAATAAGATACGTTCAGATTGTCAGTCCAAAAAAGCACATGAAATTCGTTTCAAGTTACATCCATATGTGGTTTGAAATCCTATTCAAATCACAGGACATCAGCCTCAGTCTGAACGATCGGATTTCGCGTGGTATGTCTTAAAATGCAAACGTCATTTATAGGAAACATGCTGAAAGTCACTGCCGAAACAATGCTGTGTTGCCGGACAAGCAAAAAAGTATTATTTCTGAAACCGGCGCAGACGAGCGTGGGAAAAAAGCAGTAACGTTACATACCAGCCTCCTACAGTTCTGCCGTAGTAGTCCAGCGCGGCGGCTATACACATTTCCATGTTGTAACATTTAAAAAGACAACATCTAACATTATATTGCAAATGCAACCCCTCCATCAACGCAAAGTCATTGCCATATTACCAAATAACATGCATGGACACACACGTCGGATCTGAACAGTTGCGATACACAGTGCGGACATCATTTTAGATCAGATTCCAATTTGATACAAAGATAATCGGATTTGGACTGACAGTGTGAATGTAGCCATAGTTAACTACGTCGACATTTTAGCCATAGTCAACGCTTCATTTACACCTGTCTGATGATGTACTAGCTACCTCTCTCAACCACAAACGCCTTCTTTCATCAGTTTTTTGCACTCTTCTCTTTAACTTTTGACAGTCTATAGCACTCGACATGTTTTTTCCCGATGTGACCGATTGGTACAGACAAAAACTCGACCATTTTTCAGCAGCAATAATCAGCCAAATTTGCGAGTCCATTCAGTTCAGTGGCATTATTTACGATCTGTGCCTCCAAAATGGCCGACTTCCGGATTGATGACGCGTCGTGAAACCCCTCTATTGTCTTCAAAACATCTTTATCTGCATGTTACAGCGATCTCTGTCAGCTACTTTCTGTATCACTCAGTGACGTCCAGTGTTGCCAACTATTTTCAAAGGAAAGTAGCTAAGGCCTTCCCTAAAAGTCGCTAAATGTCGCTAGATGACATCATTCGTCAATTAGCATATTAATGACGTCATCGCGTCGTACTTGCGTTCTGTCAGCCTAGTGCGTTTTCTCTCTAAATTAATGCTCTATTCACTATAATATAGCCGAATGTCAAATAAAGCTGTTATCATTTCCTATTTTTTTGTTGTCAGACAATTGAACGAGTAGCTATAATTTAGTGAATGATTATATTTTTTATAGGCCTATGTGGAACAATATCTGAATTGAGAGAGTTAGGGAACCGGATGAACTAAGCTCTAGTGAGTGTTACAAGTAATAAGCACAAGAAA